GGAAAGGGGTGGGGGGGGGGGCTTCTTTCAGCCAGGTTTTTTTCACCTTTTACTCCCTGTCCCTACGAGTTTGGAGTGGGTCTACAACGTACGCCCCCAGGATTGATTTGAAATGAGGAGCATGAAGATTGGGGGTTCCGTCACAACACCTTTCCGATATGTCGGGGTTTGATCTCGGCTTTCGAACATACCACAAATCCGGACGCCTCGGGGCAAGAGAGGGATGGAAGGGTCGCGAAATGCGTGCCGCGAGCGAGGCGAGACGGGTGCGCGCGTTGGAAGGGGGAAAAAAGGGGGGGGGGGTTAGTGGGAGTGAGAAACAGAGGAGGGAGAACACATGACCCGGCCCCGATGCGCTGGGACGCGAAAAGAGGGTGTGCTGTTGGCGGGCGCCTGAGTCAAATTGTCATCCTCCCGGGGCCACGTCCATGTTGTCGGGGCCGCACTCCCAGATCCTCGGAATCGGTCGCCAGTTGGAAGCCTGAACCATGTTGCCCCCTGCCTAGATGCCATGACAGACAGGGGGTGAGTGAGACCTTTCTACCTTACTCACCTTGGAGGGAGGGATGTTTCGATGGGGGGGAGAGAGAGGGGGGGGGGGAGGGAGAGGGGGGGAGAAGGGGAGGATGGGAGAGTTTTGGGCACAGGGTGGTCAGCAGCAGCGGGATTGGTTGTATGCTAATCGGGCCTGCCAAGCTGGGCGCTTCCGAAGATAATTGGACCTCTACGCCTGGCGCTTAGCGAGGGTTGGTGGTGAGACGACATATTTCGGTGCCTTCAGGTCTTGCGAAGGGCGTGGTCTTGTCAGACGGGAGATGTGAGTGGTGCGGCAGGGCACCTTGGCGAGGAGAATGAGGTCTTCCACGTGGCGCGGAGCCGCAAACGGAACAGAATGTCAAAGTCGAGACGACAGCTTCTGCTTTGGCTTGGAAATCCGCAGTTCAGATGGACCGATGCTGCATTCGCAAGCCAATGGACCTTGACACTTTGAAAATACGCGGCATGCTTGACCTAGGGCGGCGGCTAAAGATAGTCGGAAGAACACAAGGCTGTCTGTTCATGTGGGATGATGCGCTCGCTTCTTGACACCAAAACGACGACTCGCCAGACGTGGTAACGAAGCAATCACACTCAAGGGCAACTCCAAGCTCGAGATGGCTGAGCTTGTGGGTAAGCACCGGAAACAGAGATGATTGGAAACACCACTCATCCGAGATTCGCAGTCACCTCGAGTGTGGTCGATCTGTCGTTTGATTGGAGAGCTTGCGCGATGCCGTCTGACGTCCCAGCCGCCGCCGTAGGCATGGATATTGCGGTATGGTGGAGCCTGGAAGACGTATACGAGTATAAGGTAGGCTTTGTTGGGGGTGGCAGTCTGTAGTCGAATTAAGGAGCTGTAAGGCTGGTGCAAACGGCCCCTAGCGCTCCTCCGGCGCTTGTCGAGCGGGAGCCAGCGGAGCCGAAGCGCTGGTGCCGCGCTGCGCTTCAGCGCTACTTGCCTACCCACCTTACTTGGTAGGTACCTACCTACCTAGGTACCTGGTGAGGCAGAGGCAGAGGCAGGCAAGCCAGGTGGGAAGGCACAGCGCACCTCCCCACTGGTTTCAGTGGTCGACCCTGCTAGAGCGGCCGTGTGGTGGGGTCTCGCTTCTGTCCCCCCCCCCCCTGCCCTGGTCCTCGAGCTGGGTCCTGCTCCGCCTACCGGCTCAGGTCCATTCCGCTGTGTGGTGCTTACTGCACTCACAGCAAGAACGAGATCTCGCTCGCTTTCCCTTTCCCCTCCATGCTCATTCATCCAAGACCACATCTGCGCCTCTACCAAGCCCGCCGTCTTCTCCATCGTCG